GTTAACGCTCACGCCTCTAGAGACTGTATTTAATATGACCATCATATGTTAATGCTCATGCCTCTAGAGACTGTATTTAATGTGACTTGTTTTTGGCCCCCCATGCACATTAGTAGGGGGTGTAAACAACAGTAAATACCGCATGTTAACACTCTCCCATTCCATAGGTTTGTTAAGCACAAAAGTGAGCAGAGTAGCGCCCCCTACATGGTTGCTGGGGAGATGCTCGCCGCCTGTCGCTGCCAGCTCAGCCACCTCCTGACGTTTCGTTTCTGATAACCATCTCCCAAGGTGGCAGCAGGCTGTGAAGCCGCAGGACTGCAGAGAATCACCACTGCTCCTGTGTATCTCCCAAGGTCCCGATAACAGTCCTGTCTCCCTGGAGACGCCACCTCCTCCTTCCCAGGCTGCCGTGGGCCTCACAGCCTCTGCATGGTACCGCAAACAGATGCTGTCACACGCAGCCATGAAAGGCTGTGAAATATGACCATGTCAAACATCTAAGCAGCTAAGCGGAGTATATAAATGGCCACACACTGATGTCATCTTGTAAACAGGAAGAAAGGATGTCAGGAAAAGTCAACAGATTTTTCAAAAAGAGATGCAACTACGAAGTGTGTAACACAGTGCTGCTATGCACCATGTGCTGTGAAGCAGACACACACACACACACACACACACACACACACACCCTGTAGCACCAGCTGACGAGGCTGACAGCTGACAGGAAACCTCATTACCTTAATGAAGGCCGTCACCTGAGTCACTGCAGTAAGAACAGGCATCTGAACAAATGGCTAAAACGTCACACACCTTAAATAAAAGAGCTGAGCAGGCATCTGGAATAAGAACAGCGCAGAGCGTATCGGGCGAACTTCCTGGCAGGCCAGCGCCAGGCCCAGAAAGAGCCTGTCCTCCATGTCCCAGCCTAAATTCTGTCCTTCCTGTAGTGAATCAGGATGGAGGCACAGCCAGCAACGGCAGCTCTGTGCCCCATGAGCTTATCACACAGGTGTGACACAGCACTGTGTTCACGACCTCGCTGACCCCCTACAGACCTCACATGGATCACGTCACCATGGAGACCACAGCAGGTGTTTGTTGCTTTCCATGGTAGAACAGAATGATGACAGGAGACTGCATACACCTCCTTGTCCCTACAGACACTAATCCACAAACCCTCACAACCCCCTCACTCTGTAAAGACCACCCCTCGCAACCCACAGCCCTGTAAAGACCACCCACCTATAACTCCCCTTCTCTATAAAGACCACTATCTCATAATCCCCCATAGACCACTCCCTCATAACCACCTGCTCTGAAATAATTGCTCCATAACAGCTCCCAGCTCTGTAAAGACCACTCCCTCACTACCCCCCCATAAACACCACTCCTTCATAAGCCCCCCACTCTGAAAATACCACACCCTCATAACCTCCCTCTGCTGGAACTGCCTGGTTGATGAATAGCACCCCCC